CTGACATTCGAACAAATATGAAGCCATACTTTAAGCTGGACTTCATGCCAATTATTCAACCAGACATGCACTCCCAATTGACTTTTTATTTGCGGTAGTTTAACAACCCAACGTTATGTTGTGCCATGAACCTTTGGTTTGCAAAGTGTGATGAGCTAGATACTACTTTTTATTTAGATTCCAAGGTTAACAAAGCCCCTAAGTTTCTACGTGTACCCACAGTTGAAATATATAAGCTCAGTGTTTGCAAAGGAAAGACTTAACAGTAACAAAATTAAAAGGCGACACTGGATGAAAACGACTTTCAATTCTGGCTTTCATCATTAAGGGAGAAGGATCATTGTTCTTTGTATCAAAACAAACCTTTTTGTTAATGCATTTCGGCTAAGTATGAAAACTTATACGTATTTGAGGCTCTAAGAAGTTATGGAAATTAGCAGGGCAAAACTTTCTAAGCAATAAAAAATAAATATATTACTATCATGTACTGTTTCACCAGATTTATAACCTGTACAGAAACACAAATACCAAGTATGAAATTCAAGGTAGAGCATCGTACTTCATGATATATTTCTGATTATGTTATGAACACAATAATTTTTTTAATGCAGTGTATTGGTCAAATTCTAAGTAAAGATTATACAATTTTAAATATTAACTGTATGAGGCTAGATATTGAGCTAGACTATGAGCAAATCATGTAGCTAGACAACTAGCCATAGTTTTAGGCCAATATTTAGACAGACATGTAGATAGAAGTTTTTTGGTACTTAAAGTTGTCTATTGTTAATGTCAAACAAACTTTTAACATATTACGCGAATAATTAGAGTCGATCACATAAGTATGTTCATAGTATGTACATATGCGTGTTACGTCGTGGCTCTTCGACGCAATTTTAGTGCGCGAGAATTTGAATGCAGCGTACAGAGCGCAAACAGCGAATGCATTTGTGTTCAGCAGTGTTTGTAATGAAGTTAAAGTATTAAAAGTAATTTACCAGTACCTTTAGGAGTAATGGTTGATTAGAGGCTGACAGCTCTCCTAGGTTGGCCAGTGAAGTAGATTGCGTGTTAAGCTGGTAATATATTATAAGAAATAAGAATCTTAATTAAATAGCTAGCAAAACTTAATTTATTGATTCACAAATATTATAACGATAATTGATACAATCTGACTGACGTTGAATAAAATAACTCCCTTTAGTTAATACCGACTACTTGCTTGTTGGTCGTCCGTTCCTCCTGAAAAGACAGCAAACCGCAGGGCACGGTTCTATTTAATTCCTAAATCAGAACGATAATCAGGGGTAGGACCGGTGGTGAGTCAAAGAGTGGAGGTAAATTTGATTAACATTTTCTTGGAAAAAAAGTGTAGCTGTAGGTGTAGGCCGGATGTTGCTGAATTCGGCGAAGGTGAAGTTAGGAAGCGGAAGTGGCTGGTGAGCATGCGACCGACTTAGCATGCGTTGATATCGATTTGTGGGTGCAGCCGCTAGGTGACAAACACCATATGGTATATGTTACCAATTGTTGGTAGACGTCACTAGACGTGACAAGCGTACATGTTATTCTAACGTTACTGATTTTGACGATGCCTAAAGTACTTATAGGTTCTCGTACATAGTTAAAATACATTGATAAAAACGTTCGTTTTGGTGAAAAGAATAATGCTCTTTCTCCCTTAATGATAAAACCCAGAATTCTAAGTAGGTTTCATCTAGTGTCACCTTTTAATTTTCTCACGTTCTTGCTTTTGCTCTGCTAAGACTAAATTTGTATATTCCAACTGTGGGTACACGTGAAAACTTGTATAGATACGAGTATGGCTTAATGTCTGTCTGAATGTCATGTTTTAAGTATGGCTAAAAGTGTGGCTAAAACTATGCCTCAAAGTTTAGCACAATGTCTAGCTAAATGTATGGCTTAAAGTGTAGCCAAATAAACGGCTTAAAGTATGACTCAAAGTTTATCTCAAAGTCTGGCGGAATGTATGGTTAGATGTATAAAAGTTGTGCTGAATGTCAGGCTGCATGACTGGCTAATTGTCTGGCTTAATGTATGGCCTTATGTAGTAAATACATAAAATCGTATGATCTCTTCTTTAAACTTGACAAACACAGTGCATCTATAAAATAATTGTATTTATTGAATAATATAATAAGACTATATCATCAAACACGATGCTAGACCACAAACTTCAAACTTTGTCATTTGTTTTTCTGTACATTTTACGAATAGAGTGAAACTGTACATTATAATGATACAATTATTTCTGATGGCCAAAAAATTTTGCCGTGCTAATTCACATGAGTTTTAAGGCACTTAAAGTTGTGGATAGTAAATGCCAAATGATTTTCTAACCTGGTTCGCGAATGATAAGAGTGGGTTACAAAAGTTTGTACATATGCGTACGGGCACAGTTTATACAGTTGCTACACTCCATTCAAAAATGTGTCCTCTAGTGCGCATGGATTATTCCGTACTACCAAGAATATGGCTGAAAGGCACGCAGCGTAAAATCTTGGAAAGCAGATTTAGCCGTTGTAAATATTTTTGTTAGCTTATATTTTCCTTGACTGACAAATGAGTGTTGTTTACTAAATGGTTATCTTAAAAAATTCTCATGGTGTCTGTTACAATATCGTATAATTACTAACATTTAAGTTTACACGAATAAATAGAAACTAACAACGAATTAACATTCAAGTTTTCGCGGACTGTGCTACCAGAAACATGGCGCCTGGCAGACACTTTTTAGCACGGAAAGTCACAAATATGTAATTTCTGGTATGGGTGATTTCCACGTCCCTAATTTAGACGATACTTTAAGTGCGTATAGGTTCTCGTACATTTAAGAAATGCATTAACAAACAGGTTTGTTTTGATGCAAAGAACAATGCTTTTTCTCCCTTCATGATAAAAGCCAGAACTGACAGTCGTTTTCATCCAGTGTCACCTTTTAATTTTCTTACTTTTTGGCCCTTGACCTCCAAATACTGAGTTTGTATATTCCAACTGCAATTACACGTAAGAACTGGAGGAAATTGTCAATATTTTGATTTAATCAAAAAGTAGTGTCTCGCTCATCACACTTCGAAAACAAGAGATTAATGGCACAACATAATGTTGTGTTATTAAAATATAGTATTAAAAAAATAAATTTGAAGTCTGGATAAATAACTGTCTTAATGTCCTGCTAAAAATATTTTTCAATGTCTATCTGAACGTTTGGCTAAATTTATGGCTGAACGTGAGGCTCAAAGTATGGCTCAAAGTATGACACAACGTCTGGCTAAATGTATGGTTCAAAGTCTGGCTGAATTTATAAAAAATAAAATTTATTTCCTTCGAATTTCAGGCTAAATAAAGCTAATACTAAGTGTGACATACTTATGCTTTTTTACACAACAATTGACATGCTTACATTACCACTCATAACAGTTAAAATAATTAAATCTAATTATTTACAATGAAAATTTATTTGAATAGTTTAATGGTTTTCAGGATTTGATATAAAGATTGATTACATGACTTTTTATTACATCACTGTTATTTTAACACTCATAAATCTTAACAATGTCCTTATAAGTAATTAAATAAATGTATTGTCATCATTCTTTTTTAAAAAAAGTCGTAAGAAAGAAAGTATTATGTGTACCAAGAGATGGTTATTTGTCTTAGCAAAACCTGACTTCGTGTCTAAAAATAAGCAATCATTGCCATAAAAGAAGGTTCCGGATAATGCAGGATCTACAAGTAGTCAGTTTTGACAATCAGACGAGAAAGAGGTAGTGGAGTTGAGATACAAGCTGACTTGACCTGTAAGCAATAGCGCAAATAAAATAACTTTTTTTTGAAATAAGGAAGATTTTTTGTCAGTTTATGATTCATCTAACTACAATAACTTATAAAACAGATTTTACTTATCATAATAATATTAAAACTTGTTAAAGAATTTGTATTAAAAAAAGTAGGGTCAGCTTATCTTTTGTATAAAAATAATTCTGACGATTTATAACAATAAACCTAATTAAGTACTTTTAGAATGTATTTATAATAAAAACAATAAAACCTCTTTTTTATCGGTTCGTTATACAATAAGCACTTTTTTGTTCAAGAGGCTATTTACTTTCTATGTAAGACAATAATGCAAATAGGATACCCTTCTATTGATTGAGTTAAAAAAATCTTATTTTTCTCTTATCAATAGCACACGCCCACAAAAAAAAATTATTTTTGTGCCAATGATGCTATAACCATATTCCTTAAATCTTTGAAAAAAAAAAAACAGGTTACTTACTTTCTGTGTTACTTATTTATTTTTTTGTCATTTCTCTTTTTATCCATTTTTCAGATTATATGCCAGTTCATGTCTTCTGTTAAGTGGCCTTTCATCACTTAACTTATAGTTATACAATATTTCACATTTTTTCCATATTCAATATCTAAAGTACTTTTCTGTGAGTTTTCTTGCAATATTCATTATTATTTTATACTTCGTCATTAGTTTTTGGTGATGACCTTCATCATCCTAACTGTATAGTTCGTCTATGTAAGTCCTAATCCATTATAAATGATACAAGAAAATTTACACAACAGTTCCTGAGCAAAGCATATTGCTAAGGGAGAAGAAGACTTTGAAATAAATTCATGGCTTCTCCTGAATGTAAAATGAATTTATTTGTTCAAGAATGTATCTGTAAGTTCTATTGTTCACTTAAAAATTTACGTAGAATATATAATCAGATCTGTATTGTGACTTTATTTTCAATTACAGAATTAAACAATATTATTATTCTCATCAACAATTTCTTATAATTTGAACGTCCAACAAACTTTCATCGTTATTGCAAAATGAAAAACACTTATTGAAGTCTACCAATTCGATTTTCCCAGCAATTTAAACATACAAAATAAACTAACTGAACCAAAGAAAAATTAATTTTGTTTTTCATAATATCTCATAGTCTTAAACTTTTTTAGTGTAAAAAATAACTTACATGAATAACCCAGTCCTTTGGAGAATGAGCATTGGTTCCACATAAATATAACCGTCTACCATCTTCCATCGGTTGTATAACTCTTATATGATTTCTGCAATCAAAATACTGTGAAAAAATAAGTTATTATTATTTGTAAGACTGGTATAATAAATTAATCAAGTTAGTTCTATTTAGAATTACGCAAGCTTAGATATACAAAGACCATTACGATTCACAAAAATAAAAGAAAATAATTTAAACTAATTATGTATAGTCTAATACGACATAACCTTTACTTATTTTTACGTCAGTACAATGTCGATTGAGTTAGCTCACTATTAAGTAATAAGAAATAAATTAACTATCTGTCATAATTATCCTATTTCAACAGTTGCCATGATATATAATGTTAAGGAATCACTTTTTGACTTCTTTTTTCAAATTTTTCCAAGTTACTCATGTAATTGTTAGGATGACTTAAAAATCAATTATATTCGATTTTGTATGGTATAATCACAAATTATTTTCCAATTATCGATAATTAAGATGTAAGAAGTTCTGTATGACTTTAAGAGTGGTTTAACAAGTGATTTCCGATACATTTGATGATACACATTAACAAAAACTTGCTTGTTATGTCAGTGATAAAGTCACACCAAACTTCCTACATCAACATTATCGAGAAGCACAAAATTATCTTTCCATTTTACCTCAATATTTAACATTCAAATTATGTTATAAATATAGTTTAACCAAGAACTAAATCTATCAAAACCTATGGTGTGTATAAATGCACAGCCCATCAAAACTCAAGTACTGGAGAAACTGTATGATTAACAGGAGTTTTTATGTTCAACAATTACCTGGGGAAAATTTTTCAGTCCTTGCAAGTAGTTTTAAATGTTTTAAGCGTATCCTTTTTGACTTTCTTAAATTTAGTTCTAAAAAATTCTTAGTTATTGTAAAACAAAATAGACAGACAGAGAGTGCGTAAGCAGTACCTAAATATCGATATGGGCCTAGTAATTTGATGATACAAATATATAAAAATTTTTTGTTATACTAGTGTTAGTCACACCCGATTTTTATTAACCTTACATTATCGCTACAAGATCATAATAATACTTAAAAAATGCAGATGTACAACATATGTCACTTAAAAGTTTCAGGATGATACAATATACATGAGTTGCCAGATTAAGAAGTAAGTATTAGACTGAAACTACATAATGATTGTTATAATTTAATTAAAAACTTTATATTCAAAACAAAACATACAAACAAATAAGCGATTTAAAAAATTTAAATGTCTGTTGCTATTTTTGTTACTATCAACACGATAAAGTTCAAAAGCATGCTGTATCGTCAGGAGCTTTTACCTTTTAAATGACCTAACTTTAAATTCATTTTTATAAATCTTACTAATATATAAGGCAAAGTCGCTAACACCGTTGTCATCACTAACTGTGAAAGCTACTCAACCGATTTTGCTGAGATTCCGCATACCGATTCTTGACACTTCCTAGATGGTTTTAGTATAGTTTTTATCATGAAAAAATTAATAACAAAAGCAATAAACAAGCTCAAAGTTTCGCAAAAATGGGCTTGCTTCGTGCTTTAATTCAGTTAAATCCACTAGGTAGCGTAAAAGTAAAACCGAAACAACCTGCAATTGAATCAAATTAGTGTGGTTATAATAGGCCCCAGCAACATACCAAATACACAGTAGTTCATCAACAGTACATGAAGCCTAGAGCTAGGAGTCGTGCAGCTGGGTATCCCGCTCCAACGACACTGTTCTCTAATAGACAAGTGACTTACATCAAACTCCCTCCTGAGCCACAATAAATGACGGGCAGCCACTAATACTAAGACGTTCTAAATGCTAACGTCTCTGGCAAAATACTAACGGACGCCTAGTCAGGGCACACTCGGCTCTGGCAATTAGAAGTTTTATGGCCATTTTTCAAACTCACCTGGTGCTCCAACCACAGTAGGTTATATTACAACTGCTAGTCAGGGACAATCACCCTGAGTTTGGGCAGCCACAACAGCCTCCTCCATGTTTCGTAAAAATGGCATGTCCACAGAAAAGGTATTCTCCAGGTCCACTTCCCCAACTACCAATAAGCGGTTGATTATTCGAGGAACGACCCATAGACGAGATATTCCTTGGTCAGTGGCGTACCTCTCTCCAGCACGGTCTCCATACGCAGACACCAAGGGTTAGACTCAAGCTACCCGCACCGCTAGCTCTTTATCATCAAGAATAATAATGAAGGGAGTCTAGAAGTATTACTACTAGTCTTTTTTAGGGCTACCATAAGTATTTACGTTCCCTACTTAACCATTAGTCTCGTTGGTTCTTTTTAGGGCTACCTAACTTGAAATTACCTTGCCGATAAAAACGTATTTACTACCATTTCCAGCAACGATTCGTTGACTAAAATACGATATAAAGCCGGCCACTATTAAATCAAGTCAGTCATTCACAGGCAGACGTCACAAGTGGAGGTGTTCGTCACGAGGCTGGAAACTTGGGCGAACGATGACCCTATATTACCCTCTTGACTTTGTTAGTATTTAACCGAGAATCACCGATGTTCTCTGAGGTCTGCGATGAGCGAACCTAACAGCTATAAAGAAAAAATAATCCATAGAAAACGGAACAGTATCCAACGGATAAGCATTACAAATGAATCTCCCTTTCTTAGATCACCCAAACAACTGAGCTTTGCAAAAAAGGAGGTGCTTGAGAGACCAATGTCTCTGGCGTACCGCCAGGAGACATATTAACAAAAAAATTCCTAATATGTGTGATTAAACTGGCCAGAATTAAACGTTTGTTATTTGAAAGATTTTTAAATAAAGAATGCGACATAAAATCATTTAACCAAACAAAGTAGCAAAGTGGTATAAGAAAGTTGCGAATAGAACAATGGTTGGCTTAAATTATGTGTGTTTACATATGAGGATCCATAAATACATAACGGCGTACCTAAGGAAAAATAATTTTATGACTTTAAAATAAATTAGGTTTCAGCACGAACTAAAAATATAAATCATTTTGGTTTCAAGGTGATTAGAGTGTTGACAGAATACATGCACTTATAGAGCTTTGCCTTCCTGCATTCTCTGTGTGGCAACACTCCATGGGCTAATATCAATCTAAGCTTAAAACCTCTGTTACTATTAAAAGTTTTAATAGTTAAATTATCTACCTAATAAATAGTTTTAATTAATTCTAAGTTGTTAAGATTGCAGTTTTTATGAAGAATGTAAAGATTGTAATAGAAATTATATGGACGGACAATGTATTAATAAAGAAAAAGAATATTCTGACTATTAAAGCAAAATAATATGTATTTAAAATATTCCTATAAATTAACAAACAAACTTGGAATCCATATTAAAAATTAAATAGTTAAATAATATAACAAATTTCTTGAAGAAATTTATGTGCATTACACGGGCACTCCGTACATTGATTCTGGAGAATAGATATTTATGTAACTGCAATACATGTTGATATTAGATCGTTTAAATATTTTTATCATGAGAATAACTTCATTCATTACTATTGTACTCTACGTACTACAATATAGGATTTTATAGTTTTTTGATAAATATTTATATATTAGTAGTTGTTTGTTATTATAACATAATGTTGTTGAGGAATTGTTTGAAGAAAAGCTATCAAAACTACTTTACTGTATTGTAATTAATGTAGTAAGGTGACTTAAAGTTGTTGGTTAGCTCTTTTTTCTTCTTCTTTTTTAAGGCATTACATATTGTAACAGTTGTGGCTATACTGTTACTGAGGTAGACTGTACTATTAATTCACTGTAATGTGAAGTTATCATAAAGTTGCTGCTTACTTTACTTCTCAATATTGGTTTTAATAAAAAGTGTTGTGCAGTAGGCGTGAATGCTTTGCATTTCATGAAGCATTCTTATGGCGTTAATGTTCAGTGTGATATTACTGCGGAATCCATAACGCTTTTTCGATGTTCATTTATACAAGATATTGCAGTATGATGATAACGCTTTTATTATATTGATGTAATTTCTACACAAAATTGTGATTTTACACTACGAGACTTACTCTTATGTATGTATATAAGGATCAAAAATAATGCTTCTTGTTACATACTGAAAATTGCTTTTAATATGATCTTTGCCACAATTTCATACAGCAACAGTGTCAAGCTAATCGTTGTTGGAAATCAGTGCCTGGAACTACACTTTTTTAACGTAAAGTTTTCCATCTTATTTACAAAGGTTTTCATTAACTGTGAAATAAAAATTAAGATAACATATTGGTTATAAAACCTTGATATAGGTTCCATTTAATTGCTTGTTAAATGAGTTTAAGTTTTTTAAATCAATGAATTGATATTCATTTGCTTACACTTTTACAACTAAAGTTATTATCTTACAAGCTTGTCGTAAACTTAATATCGTTCATTGTAATTATTAATTTGATTTTAAATTATTCATACAGTATGAATGTATGACAAATATATAACCTTAACAAAGATTACCTATTAATTAATTTTTGATATAGTGAAAGTGCAGCAGTAAGAAGAGTAAAAGACAGCTTAATAGCACACACACACACACACACACACACACACACACACACACACACACACACACACACACACACACACACACACATATATATATATACACTAGTGGGGCTAACGCCCCCCTGCGCGCTCTGCCCGCCAACCACCCATTAACAGATTGAGTAGACAAAATAACGACAATACTCGTGTTTTTATCAATGCAGGCTGAAAATTAGTTCACGACAGCAGAATACTTAGCATAGTTAAATTAACATAAACATTAATTTTCCAATAGTATTTTTAAATAATATTAGAGAGGGTCTTCGGTTACACGAATTAAAATTAAAAATAAATGCTACAGTAGTGTTAATAAGAACTTTAAGTATATCAGACGGTCTCTGTAGAGGCACAAGATTAAAAATAACAAAATTATTTACGTATAATATAGAAGCAGAAATAATTATGGGAGAAAAAAAAAACAAAGTTTATATTCCTAGACTAACATTGAATACTGGCACCTTATTATCATTACCTTTTGTCTGCTATAGAAAACAG